ACGAGCAAATGTTTGTTTTCCTAAGTGGTGGGCAGCACGTTAGGGGTTCAGTAGACTGCAGAGAGGGCCCCGTCTAACGACATTCAGAATTAGTTCAGAAAATCCCGTTCGTGCCAAACCCGACTGTCAGAGGGCTGAATTCAGCGTGTGAGCTGCCAGCTTGCAACTTCTGCTGTTTACCCTCCGTAGGTTGTTTCGTTTTTGTTTGTTTGTTTGTTTGTTGAGCTTCTTTGGACGGCGTCTGTCAGGCACTTCCTGCAGGCGCTGTGCAGGGGGACCTTGCTTTGGAGCTTGATACACATGATCTTCTGTGGCTTTGCCCACCTCCGCCTCCGTGAGATAGGCACAATCATCTTTTCCCCTTCAGAGCTGAGGGAGGGTAAGAATCCTGCCCAAGGCCACATGTCGAGAATGGCCCTGGATGTAGAACTCAGGCCTGCTGGACTCCAGAGGCATCCTCCCTCCCATCTTGCTAATATTCCCCAAACTCTGCTCCTCAGGCCACTGGCATCGGAATCAGCTGGCATCAGAACCCCACTCTAGGCTTATTAAGTCAGAATCGCTTGGGGGGGGGGGTGATCTTCTGGTGGTTCTCTTGTATTGAGCAAGCCCCCTTCTTTAGCTGGGCTGCCCTTGTGACTCAGTGACGTCGAGTAGGCCGCGAGGGGAAAGACCTCCACTTCCAGGCGCGGGCGGTGGCGGGGAGTCGTGCTCGGCCTCCCCGTCTGCCCTGCATCACGGAATGCCACTTCACTTCCGCAGCCAGGGGAGGACAAGTAAGCAAATTCATGAATCATGGTTCTGTTTATGTTTTGGTTGCTGAGGCTAAATATTTATGGCTTTAAGTAAGAGGTTCTGCCTTAATGAGAGTCATAACTAACCACGAGCGCACTAAAATGTGTTCTCACGACCATAAGACGTGCATTTCTCCAAAGAGAGCCAGATGTAACGGGCACTTTGAATGGGCTGGTGCCACTGATCAAAGTCTGAAGGTTTATCTAAACTGGCCAATAGCTTTTGAAATCCAAAAGTGCACACGAGTTCGATTGATGGGCTTTGCTATTAAGTTTACTGAGAGTAACAGGCTTACATTTATGATCCTATGGCATAAAGGTGTAAAGGTGTGGGCAATATGAAACACACGCTTAAAAAGCGGGTAAGCCACATTTAATTTTTTTTTTTAAGATTTTATTTAGTTATTCATGAGAGACAGAGAGAGAGAGAGGCAGAGACACAGGCAGAGGGAGAAGCAAGCTCCTCGCAGGGAACCCGATGTGGGACTTGACCCCGGAACCCCGGGGATCACGACCTGAGCCAAAGGCAGATGCTCAACCGCTGAGCCCCGCAGGCGTCCCAAGCCACCTTTGATTTTGAAACGCACTGTGTCCACTTCCTGATTTTGCCCCTTGCTCTTGTCCTAGATGGGCGCTCTCCCATCTTCAGATATTAACTATTTTTAGATATTTACCTTTAGAAGATAGCAATGTCCAGGTACCATCCCAGGCAAATGAACTCAAAATTTCTGGGAAAGGAAACTTGGCCTGGGTATTTTTTAAAAGCTCCCCTAGTCGGGGAGGGTGGGGGGGTGGGAGCACTTAATGGGATGAGCACTGGGTGTTATGCTATATGTTGGCAAATTGAACTCCAATTAAAAAAACTTTTTTTAAAGTAAATAAAAAATTCAGCATTTTTAAATGAAAAAAAAAAAGCTCCCCTTGTCATCCTAATATACATTCAGGGATGGGTGGGAGCCACTGTGCTAGAAGCTTTGATGGGTCAGGGGCTGGCTATGTAGTTAGACTTGGATTCAAATCCTGGTCCTGGCGTTTGCTAGCTGTGTGACCTTTGACAAATTGGTTAATCTCTCTGAGCCTCAGTGTCTTCGTCTCAAAAATGGGGATAATAGTGCCTAGTTTGCAAGGTTGTCAGTAGGATTAAATGGGATTATGCAGGGAAGCACTTAGCGTCATGCTTCGAGGTCCGTTAACTTGGTGCATAGGGAAGGCTCAACAAATACGAGATATTGTGGTTACTGTGGTTATTACATTTAGCTCAGAATGAGTTTCCTTTCGTATCATTGCAGAGTATTGGGGGGCAGGGGCTCAGCCTTAGCTGTGCAGATAAACTGAAGGAAACACTGTTAGATGTTTCTGAAATTCAGACTCCACAACTCTGGGCACCCCACAGAGGATGCCAGTGGGATCTTTTTAAGTTTGTCCACTATGCAGTCAGCCAATGAGATACTGGGATTTAGAGCAAGACAATTCCATGCTAAGGGGGATTTAAGAAAAAAAATTTAAATTTGCAATTAACACACCATGTTATGTTAGTCTCAGGTGTACAATGTAATAATTCAACAAGGGAGATTTACTTTTTTTTAAAAGGATTTTATTTATTCATGAGAGACACACACAGAGAGAGAGGCAGAGACACCGGCAGAGCGAGAAGCAGGCTCCATGCGGGGAGCCCAATGCAGGACTCGATCCCAGGACCCCCAGGATCACGGCCTGAGCCGAAGGCAGACGCTCAACCACTGAGCCACCCAGGCATCCCAGGGGAATCTATTTTTTATAATTGCTTACTCATTCTCTGGACTCCTTTAAGATAAATTCTGCTACAGTAGGAAGTCTGTGGGCCTGGCTGGAATATGTAATTGTGTCTTTCTGTTAAAGCCAGAAGCCAGGGTGCAGCCGGCGCTGGCTGGCCGGTCTTGACGACACAGAGTGGGGATCGCTCCTCAAGTGGTCATACTGGGGGGCTTCTCCCAGCCATCCTCTTCCTCCTGGCTCCAGAACCTCTCCATGTGGGCTGTCCACTGCACTGACACACATACTTTTTATAACTGGCTGGATTCCTTCGAATCCCTCCAGCTTTCCCCCCGCTGCTGAAATAAGGCAAACGTAATGAACAATTTTTTTCTCTGAGAACCAAATTAGGAGGATCGGTTGCCTGAAAAAGAGCCACACAAAAGGTGGTGGGGGACAAGCAGAGCCCCTCGTGGTGAAGATCAACCAGCAAATGTATTAATGGGGAGCTAGTGTGTTCTTCTGGAAACATGCTGGGGGCAGAGACCAAGCCTGGTACCCATGCCCACCGCCGGGCAGGCCCTCGGCTCCTGCCTTCCCGTTGGCTGTTGGAATTCTGGGCTTGCCTCTCAGCACTGGGGGCTTCACTGGTCCTCAGCATCTGGCCTCAAAGACTAAGCCAATCTGTTTGAATTTTGTGCAGCGCCGATATGCAAAGAAACAGGCTCCATGCTTTCACCCACCTGTCCCCCCAGGCTTCCATACAGATGTCCCTCCCCGGGAGGGGAATTATCTGCAGAGCTCCAGCACGTGCAGTTGGGATGCTTCCTCTCTGCTCTTTGGCCTTGAGCTGCAGCTTGAGTTATGCATTCCAAGGCCACGTGGGAGTGCATTTCAGGCTTGCCGCAGCTCTGGATTCTGTTCCATGTGCGTGAAAAATTGAGAGTGGGCTCCAAACGCATTTCTGGGAGGTGTGGCTTTCGACAAACGAGCAAAGAGCTTCCCGCTTTGCTTGCCGAACTCCACTTGGTTTTGAGAGTCCCACACCCCTGAGCATAAACAGTCCATAGATGTGAGTTGTTTTATGTTTTGTTTCTTACTTCAACACTTGGGGGACTCCAAAGCTGGTTAGGAGAAAATCCCAAGAATGCTGAGCATTTCCGGTGGGACGTGCTGGGCCAGGGACATTAGAGGTTCTGTTTGCTGCAGTGTGAGTGCAGAGCGACAGACGCCTTGGTCTCGTAGCCCCCTCCTGCCCATCATCGCCGCTTTCATAGCCATGCCAGCCAAACATGGGGAGGTTGCATGACCACGATATGTGTGCGCCACATACAGCGTCTGCCTTGGAAGGGCTTTCTACACGCTAACTTTGTGGAATCCTTGGCTCAGTGGGATGAGGGTGGGGTGTGTGTGGGAGTGGTGGGATGGTCACGGCTAATTCAACGCTACATGAATTCAGGATGTTTCCATAAAACATGACCTCATCTCTTCCAGCCCGCTGGTCATCGTTAGACTGGTGGTCACTTTTGAGTAGTGGTTATGAAAATAATTCCTTTTAATTACCAAAGTGGAAATTCATAGATTGCACATAGATTGTTCTTACCCCACCCACCCACCCCCAAGCCCCCCAAGAGGCAAGAGGTCGGAGCTATTACTAATGCTGTCTCTACAACATGAGAACAACTCATTAAGTCAAAGAAAAACAAAGCGAAGCGAAGCAAACAGAAATACAACAATAAAATCCATGCCAGGTCAGTTGTTGGGCGTTGAACAGATCAAATAGCTGGGGGAGTTTCTGCCTTTCTGTCTTTTCAAATAATTGTATATATGTATGTGTATATATATATATATATATATATATATATATATATATATATATATTTTTAGCCTAAACAGTCACATGAGCAGTAGGAAGACAAAGTCATTTTTTTTAAAGGTTTTATTTATTTATTCATGATAGAGAGAGAGGCAGAGGGACAGAGACACAGGCAGAGGGAGAAGCAGGCCCCATGCAGGGAGCCTGATGCGGGACTCAATCCCGGGACTCCAGGATCATGCCCTGGGCCAAAGGCAGGTGCTAAACCTCTGAGCCACCCAGGGATCCCGACAAAGTCATTTTTATTCAACATATTTGTTAAATACCTACCATTCCTGGTTGTAGGAGACTGATGGAGTCTCCTGGTGTGGAGATGACACCATCAGCGAGTCAATGAACAAACATCAGACAATTAAAAGTGTTAAAAGTGTCATGAAGAAAATAAAGTGACCTGGATCCACAGAGAGTGACAGCAGCACCTGTTTATATATGTTGAATCCAGGAAAATAAAAGCACAGAATGCAAGATGTTAGCTAGAGGCGTAAAAATAGCTGGTTACTAAAGAAGTCATCCGTTGGTTGGAGGGATCGGAAGCTCTCAGGGTGCCTTTACAAGAGGCCCGTGGTGCTAGAGACCTGACTGCATGTGTCCTGTCGCAGGGGGCAGTCCAGCCAAACAGACCACCTGGGAAGGAGGCCACCGCGTCCCGGCTCTGGCTTACTGGCCTGGGAGAGTTCCCGTCAATGTCACCAGCACTGCCCTGTTAAGGTACGAGACCCAAACTATCTTGAAATGTTGGGATTCAGAGCAAGGAAATCATGAATCGATGCTCTAATGGCCAAAAACCCCAAGAAGAGAGACCCCCTTCGGCCACCTGCCCTGGCCAGGTGTTCCCAGGTACCTGTGCTACTTACAGCAAGAGTGGCTCTTTCCCAGCCATCCTCTGGGGGTCATGTTGGAGTGAAGAGGGGCCTGGGTGGGTTTCATGGCCTCGACGTGGAGACAGGACAGTGTCTGCTGATGCTGCGGTGGCAGAGAAGTTAGCAGCAGCATCTCCCCTTTTGGTCTGGGCTCAGCTGACGGGAGAGAATAGACCATAGAAGCCATAAATATTCCATCCTCGGGGGTGAGGGCAGGTGGCCTCAGGATGCCTGTGTGAAGCCAGCTTATCACCAGCAATCACATGGTCCCAATAAAGGAATCTAGGTGTCCCCCTGCCCTGGAGGGGAGGGAGAGGAGGTGGCCCGAACGGGCTGACCAGGAAAGAATGAACCCTAGGTGAGGACATGCCTACCTGTGGCCTTGAAGGCTCCCTTTCAGTGAGGTGAGCTGATGGGCTGCTCCCTTTACTAGAAGGATGGCTCTAAAATGTGATAATATCCCACCCCCGACTCTTATCTTGTTATTTTAAGGCAGATCCAGGAGGCCATCTCCTCGGCACAGCACGCGGTGTGGTGTGCCATTCTGAGGGCACTTGCATGCAGCTCTCTGTATGACCCAGTCTTACGATGGGAACTTGTCACTCACTCCGTTGGGGACTTCCTCTCTGTGGTTCTGCTCTTGTACTCACTGACAAGGGGGACTGGGTGCTACTCTTGTGCTCAGAGCTTTTGGGCTGGTTAGAGACGAATGTATTAGTTCCACAGGCTCTCTCATTAGCCGAATGAGTTGTGGCCTAAAGAACACAGCCTCACAGAGGAAAACAAGCCTCCTGGGCTCCTTCCAGCATCCCCAGACCTGGTGGGGAGCAGGGAGGAAGACTGGAGCCCAGGCAAAGGTAAACAGCTCTGATGGCCAGAGGGGGTGGGTAGGCACTGTCCCTGGCAGCCCGGGGTGGGGGGGGGTACGGGGGCAGGCCCCAGGGCTCGGGTCAGCCCTGCCCAATACAGTCAAGAGGGGGCAGCGTGTTGTCAGGGGGGTGCCAGCAGGTGTGACAACAACAGCGTGGGCTGGAGTCCGTGATGTCAGGCTGGCCGGGAAGACGGCCAGAAGGGCTGCTTTTTATGGGGCTGACTTGGTGCAGTCGGGCCAAGTGTTCACAGGCTGGGCCGCACATGCACAAATAACTGGGCAATCTCTCAAGTTCCAGCCCCAAAAACCGAGCGCGTGCTTCTCATCTGAGAAGGCTGTTTGCACCCACAGTCGGCCGTCGCAGCAGCAGTGCAATAACATTGCTCCGTTAATGATTTAAGGCCTCCGAGGGGGCACCTATCTTAGGGGACATAGCCAGGTGGCTGAAAGAAGGTGAGTCTTGGTACAAGATAACGTTTGCTTGAGGGCCCCTGGAGTTTCGCCAGGACAATACCAATGTCACCCCATCAGCTCCCCGTAACATGGTTTTTTTTTTTTTTTTTTTTTTTGGCGTGAAAGTAGACTCAACTGTAGCAGGAAAGTTTGTGTCCATAGAATTCACCTCCTCGCTGTTGCCCCACGTGACTCGATCCACGTAAAGCAAGCTGGGGTGGAGTGTCCTTACTGCCAGGACAGGCCACTGTGTCTCTGCTGCTCTTTTCCGTGACTCCTGCAGGCTCAGCTCTAAGGAGGATAGCCTCATGATCCGTTTTTAATAAACCGAGGAGACTGCTTCATGTCCTTGGGAGCCCAGCCAGGCTCTCCCACCCAGGGTGCTTATCACCTTTGCCAGCACTTTATTCCTCGGATGGATATGGATCTTCTTCTAGAACAGAGATAACTCCCCTGAGCCATTCAGAGCTAAGGCCAGAGTCCCTTACACCTCAATTCTGGTGCCCCTGAGAAGTCACGGGAAGAGAGTAGACAGCTTGATATAGATACTCACGTGAATACACAAACGTAACAAGTGTGTTGGGGAGAGGGGGATAGCAAGGGAAGAGGGATCCACACTGACTCCATTGGTTCCCTTTTAGATAGAGATGCTCCCTGTTAATGAAAGCTCCACCGCACACCCATGTCATGTAGCGAGGTCAAAGAAAGGCCTCGCCGTCTCCTGGCCCCCAAGCCCAGTGACACAATCACAGAGTGAGGGAAATTCATTCATTCATTCACCAAATTTTTATTGTTGTGTCCAGCTGTGGGGCAGGCATTGCTCTGGGGACCGGGGATGGAGTAGTGAGCAGATGGGACAAAGTTCCTGACAAAGGTGAGGAGCTAACCTGCCCCCAGGAGAGCAGGGCTTTGGTTTCACACGTCAAAAGGGGCCGGTGGTTTGAACCTCAGACTCTAATGCGGGACAGCTCAGCCTTGGCACTGTTGACCTTTTGGGCTGGCGCATCCTGTTTGGAGGCTTCTCCTGCACACACACCGTAGGATGTTGAGTAGCCTCTACCCACTTGTTGCCAATGGCAACCCCCCCGCCCCGCCCAAGTCGTGACAACCAGTGTCTCCAGGCAGCACCAGATGTGCCCTGGGAGGGCAGACTCGTGCTCGTGGAGAACCATAGTCTGTGATCTCTCATCGCCATATGCAAAGAGGTGAAGATTGTGCCCTGCGTCTCGGAGCCGGGAGACTGCCATCTGTGTTCAGAACAGAGAATCCCAGATTCCGGGGACAAATACAAGGTGACCGGATCTCTAAAGGTTCCGCTTAGCCAGGAGAGCACACAGTCCCCTGGGCTGCCTCGTGGCTCTCTCCAGATACCTGCAGCGCTGTCAGTTGTGTGGAAGGGTGACTCGCCTGCCTCTGTACTGTCCCCAGGCCCAGGCCCAGAAGTCCATGTTAACATCAGTGTCCTGTGGTTTAGGTGTCACCATGAGAGCAAGGTCTAGCCACATATCTCCTTTCAGGGTCCCCCACTCTTTCCTGTGGACAGTGGGCAGGGGAGCGGGAGAGGGGGAGGGGTCTCACACCCACCCCTGCTCCTAGCTGTGCTCTGCTACGTAACCCGTGTGTGTGCTCTGTGCTGGGAGGGGGGGTGCTCCTGACACTCTGGGACCCCCATGTTCCCTGGAAACAGTGCAGTGGGGGTTCTGCTGGGCTCTAAGAGGAACCCGAGGTGGGGGTCTGGGGGCAGCTGCAGCCTCTCAACCGCTCGCAGAGGGGCTTAGGCCAGGAAGGGGTGCATACCTGCTTTTCCCAGGGCTCCCGAGAGGGAAATCCGACAGGAAGAGACTAACAACTAAATGGGGAGCTGCTCCCACGTCCTAGGGACAGTTCTCACCGTCCCGCGACCTGGAGGAAGTACTGTTGTCTCCTCCCTCTGTGTTCAGGCCCACGCACCCTCAGTCCTTCCCCTGGCAACCCCCTTGTCCTTCCCACTTCCCGTCTTCAGATCACACCGCCTTTTCCCAGATATAACCTCCCCAGCTTCTAGGAAACACCTCCCTTCCCAGCCCTTCCCTCTGCCCTGGGATGCTCTCCCCCTAGGACAGCCCAGCACGGCCTGTCCCCAGTTCCCATCCACACATGGCCTCTGCTGCTGGTCAGCCCCAGCGAGCTCCTGGCGGGACCCTCGGACCCTCCGGCATCCTCCTCCTGGTCGGTCGCCTGCTCTCTACGCCCAGGTTCCTATGGCAACACCTTGGATAGGAACACAAACATGCACACTTCCTCCGAACAACTTTCAGTGCCCTGGGCTGGCTGAAGCCATATGAAGAAAGAAAGAAACGCTTTTTATATGGGCAGCGGAACCTGCAAAGGCGGCCCCCTGCCCACTCTGATGTGTCACTGTGCAGAGAAAACTCGGGCCCAGGGGGGTTTCATCCCTCCAGAAGCCAGGGCTGACTTGTCCCTTAGGCAGGGGAGGGTCAGAGCCAGGCCCATGAAATTTTTAGGGATACAGATTTTTAATTTCTTCTAAAATCAGAAGGAGAAAAAAAACACCCAACTTTTATGTTGGAGAAAATGGTTTAATATCTACTATTTCTATGTGCGTCTTTCAGTCAACACAGTTGTGAAATATGATTTTACATATTTTGTGTGGAAGTAGCAGCCCACAAAGATCCCACGAAAGTCAGAATGTGGCCCTGCCCAAAGCCTCCATCCCAAGTGGCATCAGCCACAGAAACTTGAAAATGTAGGTTCTAGGTTTTTTGTGTCTCTTTCTCGAAGCTTTCGACGACTCCCAGGACCAGTTTCTTGGGTGGGTTTTGAGGTTTGGAGCAGCTGGGCTCCCTTCGGTGGCTTCTGTAGGACACCGGTTTCCTCTAAACTCACGCCTAGGCTGGGGGCCCAGCTCTGGGATGGGGGCGCCCACCTCTGGGCTGGCACTGGGACTGTAGTGTGCCCAGGAGGCCCTCCCTCTTCCAAGGCTAACCTCGGGGGCTTGGCTTCCTCCGAGACAGAAGGAAAGCCTTGGTGGTAGCTTGGGCTTGGCGATCAATGCTGGACTGGCGAGTCGGGTCGTCGGAGATGTTTGAAGACTCTCGTGGGCCGAGGTTTTCTTTGTCCTCTGGGAGGAAAAGGTACCTCTGAGGATCCTGAGCAGTTCTGAGATGCTAGGGTCCCACAAACAGTAGACTTCGGGCTTTATTCCATTAGGATGTGAAACCTCATGACACTGGGGGAGAAAAATATAAGATAGAAAGAGAAAGTATGCCGTACATTCCGATCTAACACAGATCCTGTTTTTCTTGCTCGCTGTTGTGACCCAGCCTCTCTTAGGGGTGCTATCTAGAGAAAGCTAGAGCCAAGGGGCCCCAGCCGTGTGGCCTTCTCGGACTGTGCTGCAGTGCTCAGCGCTGCCCAGTTTGTCCCCGGATCCTTGGACCCTGGACGGGTTTCTGGACTGTGCCGGACTCCATTAGTGCTTACTCGGCACTCCTTGACTTTGCCCGTGTGAGATGCCAGCTCCTGGAACACGTATCTCGAGAGATAAGCCACCAGCTGGGTGGACCGTGAAAGTTGAAGGCAACCCAGAAACAGTCTGTGCCATGGTCCAGGGAGAGGTTCTGTCCAGGGCTGTAGGCAGAGCCACATGGTGGGTAGAAGCTCAGTCCTTTCCCCAGCCCCTCTTGCTGGACAGAGAACCCCTCCCTGAACTTCAGGGTGGTGGCAGTGGGAGGTGCGGCCCCTGAGGCCTCCCTAAAAGTGTGCCCGAAGTGTGGCTCTGTGCCCAGCCTCAGGCCAACGGGGCCTCTCTCCCGGGGGAGTGCCCCTCGCCCTGGCCCTGCCTTCCTGACTGCATCACATCCCACTGACTCAGTTGGCCTGGCCTGTGGATATAAACAGCTTTGTTGAAAGGACAGTCCATTTGTTTATGCTGGAGAGTTTTTTTTCCTGACAAAGCACAGCAGGCTGGCAGGAGATGTGCCCTAGAAGAGAGTAAAATTGTACCACATGACTTTAAAAAAATCACATTAACAAAATTCACCAAGATGGTAACAGTGGCAACCTTCGGGTAATGCACCCGTCGTGCATTGTTCTCTCTTTTATATTTCTGGATGTTCTATTTTTTTTTTCACATAAACATTTGCTATTTTGTAATGAGGAAAAAGTAACTGAAATAAAGGGGTGGAATGTGTCACATACTATGGCATTTTAAACAAAGACTAAATATTTGTGATCCAGAGACCCGGGGAAGGAATAATGAAGTGTACATTCTCCAGCAGGTACCTGTCACACAGTGTCCCCTCTCATCTAGTGGCTGCGGCCTACCTGGTGACAGGTGGAACCCCTTTGTTCTTAGGTAGGTCCATAGGGGTGCTTTTGTGAATAATTATTTTTTTAAAAATATTTTATTTGAGAGAGAGATGGAGAGCACAAGTGGGAGGAGGGGCAGAAAGAGAGGGAGAAGCAGACTCTGTGCTAAGCAGAGTGTCCAACACAGGGCTCGATCCCAGGACCCTGGGATCATGACCCGAGTTAAAGGGAGATGCTCAACCATTTGAACCACCCAGGCACCGCTCTTGTGAATAATCATAACACAAACACCCAATGAGCCCTTCCAGAGTGCCAGGTCTTCTTCTCTATGCCTTATCTGTGTGCCTCGTCCACACAGTACTCTCTGAAGTGGGCACTATCATCATGCCCATTTTAGAAAATAGAAAATGAAGGCATTAAGAAGCCAGATAGATACAACCCTGGGATTGGAGTCCAGGTAACTCTCAGCCACCGGGCCTGGGTGGGAAACCACTGTGCCATTCTGCTTCTTCCAGAAGAAGAAGGAATACAGGTGGAACCCAAAGAAAGGACAGGCAGGCAGAGGAGGGGGCCATATGGGAGGATGTGGATGCTCAGTCTGGGCTTGTTTGGGTGGGCCTTGACCATAGCATGGCCAGGGAGAGAGTCTGGGAATAGCCGGGGTCAACGCTGTCTTGTTCTTTCTGTAGTGTGCTGGACATCTTCCCCACCGTGATAGCTCTGGCTGGGGCCAGCCTGCCCCAGGACCGACACTTTGATGGTTTGGATGCCTCCGAGGTGCTCTTTGGCTGGTCGCAGACTGGGCACAGGGTAAGTGAAGGGGGTGTGCGCCCTTCTCAGGCTCTTCAGGAGATTGGCCAGCTGCCTCTCATCCGGGGCTGCCTTTGTGCAAAGAGAACCATCCTTGGACGCTACATGGAGGTGGCTGCTCCAGACCTAGTTTGAGAAAGCCTGATAGATGGCTCCTTTGAGACGAACCTCTCTTTCTACCCCACCCCTTTCTCCTATGATCAATCCGGTTTGCCAATCCAGACTTAATTTAACACCTTGGCTTAGAGCGGGTGTATGGGGGTGCTTATTCCCCATAACATATGATTTGTTTTCACAGTTACTGAATGTTCTGAGACATCGTAGGCACCTGGCATATTTTTGTTGGATGAGATGGCTGAGTAGTGTGAGTGACTTGTGTATCGTGGGGCTCCCTGACTAGAATGGAACTTTCCCGAAAGCAGGGATTTCACTGAGAATTCCCTGTGCGCCTCACAGTGCCTGGCACCCACGGGCATGCAATCAATACGGATCTGATGAATAAATGAATGAACAGACACATGAATGAAACAGCTCTTGGACGGCAGGGCCAACGAGGGCTTTATGCCTCTGACCTGCCCCCTGGCTCCTGGACGGCCTGACATGTGACTCCACAGCCCCTGCACTGGCTTTGGGTTTCTGCTTCCCAGGGCCCAGGGTCCCCTCCTCATGTGTGCTGAGGCACTCGGGGGCAGTGACAGCCCGGAAGCATCGGGCCCAGTGGCCTTTCCATGTCATTTCCGTGTGTTTTCCTTTCACCAAAAGGAAGAGGAAGTGGGAGGAGGGAACCCCAAACCCCTTTGTAGGGCCCCATGAGAGCACATGGCTTCTCAGTTAGGGACCCACACATCAAAGGGTCTATTTGCGTCTCTACCGAGGGTCACATGGAAGTGACTCAAATGCTGCTCAGATGTGCGGCAGCGGTCACCCAAGCCGCCCCTGTGGCTGGGCCGACCCAGGGCAGGCGGCCCTCTGGCCCCGAGAGGGCCGCCCGTGCTTCTGTGAGCATTCGTGCAGTTTCTAGGGCTCATCAGACGTGCCTGAAATGCCCTCCGAGGAAGCACTACTTCTCCTGGCATATGGAATCTTCTAGAACTGCAGACCCTTCCAGGCTGAGCTGTACTGCTGAGCAGCGGCGAGGCCGCAGGAAGATGGTTTCCGCCTCGGGGCTGGAGGTTGGCAGTGTGTGACCCTGGGGGGTTACGGAAGACGTCAGTGCAGAGGTGCTCCCGAGTGTTTATTAGCACAGCTACTAATAGAATAATTGGGGTCACCAGGAAGTGCTTCAAGGACTCTGGGCTCCTTGCCGTGGCCGGTCTGCCTGTGGAAGCCAGCTCCTTCGCGCTCGCTTCCGCTCTCAGGCAGGAGAGAGCTCACTCTGGTTGCTGCTTTGCGTGGGGCTATCGAGGCCCGGGCTCGGGGCCTCACGGTTACTGGTGTGGTGCCCGGCGGTGGCTGAGTGGGGGGACCAGGCAGGAGGATGGGATCCAAGCCCCAGCACCGTTGGGGGTTCACGTGGGGGACGCAGGCGTGTGTGTGCAGCTGGAGTCCTGACCACACCCCAGGGCCTGGAAGGAAACAGCCTCCCCGACCGCCCGCCGGAAGCCACTGATGGTATCTTCAAGAGCAAAAGCCTGCGGGTGCTGGCACCTTCGGGCCACGCCCCCCTTCCCAGGACCCTAGATTCCCACAGAGTTTCGAGTTTGAGGGCAACACAGGTAGTTGTGGGCTCTGAGTCTGGTCTTTTCCGGCCACCTGCCGAACAGACTAGAATAAATTGTCTTGAGTTTGCAGAAGGGAGGCCAGGAGGTGAAGTGAGTGATCACACACACACACACACACACACACACACACACACGTCTATCCATGTGGATACGCACATACGTGTCCCCCCCCCCGCCCCGGGGAGATTTTGAGAAACACAATTTAATTGTGTTCACCCTCGGCTGTGTCCTGGGCTTGCAGGATCCTACCGCGGGCTTGGTTTAGAAAACAGTTCCAGTTTCAAGAGGCTCAAAGTAACTCCTAGATGATCATCTCAAAACAGGATGCAAATAGGCCTGAGCAATGGGGCTCTTCCTTATTTTGCAAATGAAGTCACCGCAAGTGGGAAGTGCTGAAGCCACCTAGGGCCACGCGCCCCCTGGCAGCCTCCCCAGGCCCTAGGTGCAGGAATTTAAAGGCCAATCGTGGGCTGTTGGGTTTCCTGCAGAGCGGCTTTCTCGGCCTTCTTCTCATTGTCCCCTTGGAGGTCTCTGGGGAAGTCGGGTGGTATTTAAAACCCGCAGCAGCTGTCACCAGGCTGCGCGGTGGGTCTTGCACCTGGGTCTGTGTCTGGGCACCGAGGGCAACCGCGAGGAGGGGGGGGAGGGGAGACGGGTAGGGGAAGGTGCCTCCAATATCCCACTGGGGGCTTGCCTGACTCTCGAATGCAAGCTGGAGGTTGTCACGTTGTCACGTTGCCGTTGGTCAAGTCACACGGCAGCTCCCGGTGGCCACCAGCAAGTCCAAATTTTGTTGGCAAAGGGAAGAAGCCTTTCATGGCTCTGTACCAGCCAGTCCAAACCGGCCTGGGGCTGCTGTGGGTCCTAAGACACGTGGCCCCTCCCTGGAAGCTATACATTGAGGGGACAGGAGCTGGGTTGCAGGCTCTGGAACTCCCATCACTTCTCTTAGGGAGGCCCCTAGTGGTGAGAGGCGCCATCCCCAGTGGCCCACCACTTTTGGAGACAGAGCTTTGCAGCCCCATCTGAGGGACTGGGGGAGCCCTCCTTGTGTGTGTGTGTGTGTGTGTGTGTGTGTGTGTGTGTGTGTGTGTATGCACCAGCCTCCAGGGCCTAAGGAGATGCTCCCCTGCTTAAAACGACAAAACAAAATGAAACAAAGCAAAAACAGGCAAGAAAGGCAACCAGGAACGTGCACCTGCTTTGCAGAAGACACAGTCATCTTTGAAATTCGGACGGGGTGTCCTCCCTGCCCTCCCCCGAGGACCTGAGGACCTGTCTTGGGCTGTGGTTCATGTGCACATTTGCCAGCCCTCTTCCTCTGTGGATGGGAACCCCAGCGCCCTGGCCAGTGTGCCCCGGAGGAAAGCAAAACCCATCCCCGTTTCGGGGAGTGAGCCATCCTCAAGTCTTGCTTCCTCTTCCTCTTGGATTATGGAAGTTGCCTCTGGTAACGCTGCATAAATATCCTGGACGTGGCAGGAAACTGATGGAGTTTCTGAGGCTCAGACGATGCCCATGGCTTGACCTGGCGGCGGACCGCGACTCCCACCTCCTGGATGTCTGAGTGCGTCTTAGGTCGGTTGACAAGAGTCCCCCACTTCCTGCCCTCTCCAGAAGGAAACCAAGCGGCCTCCTGCGGTGACGGGCTTGGCTTCCGGCAGGGCTGGCAGGAGAGTGGGTTTTGAGTTACGACTTCTTTTCCTGTTTGGAAGGAGCCTGCTGTCATCACGCTGGCCGGGGACCTTACGGCGACTGTCACGAGAGCCCAGCACGGAAGCTGCAGGTGTGGGAGGAGCCCCGCCCTCGGCGGCATCCTCTCAGAGCCCGGGAACTTGGAGGGACAGCTGTTTACTGCTCCAACAGATGTTTCTCATTTTTTTTTTTTTTAGCCCCATGGAAACTTTGAATCACGTAAGCGCCTTTCCAGTGATATATATCGGTCATGATTCATACCAGGGCGGTCTCACGCTTCCAGCCCAAACCCACCAACCGACCAAGGACACTGGTCAGTTATTTTCTACCAAATCCTGCCCTTGGCAAGCCTGAATTAGGTGTTTCCGCTTTGTAGGGTGATTCTTTCATCTCTGGCCTGATGAGGGAGGATTTCCTCAGTCCGAGTGGGGTAGGGTTGAGTCAAAGGTGAGGCTGTCCATGTTAGGCCGCGCCCGGTTCCGAGACATCAGCCGAGCCGTCCTCTCAAGCATGCCTTCCTAGGCCACCCTTGCTCGAGGGGGAGCGAGAAAATCAACCGGATGCCGAAGTCGGTTCTCCAAAGAGATCCGAGGAACACCTGCGTCCGAATCCCTGGGAAGGTCTGGAAGGCATGCAGGTTCCCAGGCCCTATCTTGAGCCTGAGGGCTGGGGCCTGGGCCGGTGTGTGAGCAGCACAGTCATCTCTCACCCCATCCCCCTGGCACTTAGGACAGCCCCGCAGCTGGTTTAAAGAGCAGGTGCTGTGCCGTCTTGGAACTCTCCAACGTTGAACGAGCTTTCTCTCACTTTGATTTTGCAGTGGACCCTGCACATGCTGTAGCTGGTACTGGGCCTGCGAATCTGACCAGAGAGGGGGCCAATCTAAGTAACTGGCCAAATAGCTATTTCATGGAGGCATCCGCTCCCCCGGGGTGGGGTTGGCCAGAGTGGACCACAGGCCCCAGTCGGTCAGCATTTGGGACCAGGGTAGGGTGGGGTGGGGGTGCTGGGCCGGGCACAATGACAGAGAAAGAAATGCTTTCCAGGGAGTCCCCGGGAGCCTGGCTGGTTAGGAAGCTCTGCTGCTCTTTCTCAGGTGCTGTTTCACCCCAACAGCGGGGCTGCTGGAGAGTTCGGAGCCCTTCAGACGGTCCGCCTGGGGCCTTACAAGGCCTTCTACGTCAGCGGTGAGTCGGGTGTGCTGTGCACCATCCTCCCTCAGGCCTCGGGCAGTGAGTGTGGGCTGCCCTCCTTCAGGGGCGCTCCTGGCACCCAGGGGCCCCCCAGCACAGGCCCTCGGCCCCCACAGATAGGAAAACAAAGTCTTTTTACCGTTCACCGAAATTTCCAGCAAGCTCCGAGCTAGTCAGCACACTTGACACAGCCCTTTCCCCACCAAGAACCCGTTTCATTCCATTGTTGTGCTTTAAATGCCAGTTTGGCCGAACATGAAATGGGAGCTTAGAGATATTTTAAAGTGTAATTTACTTGACAATAGACTGTTTCAGAAAATAGACTCTAGAGGTTGAGTTAGCAAACCAGCAGAAGGCTCTGCTTCTTGGTTCATTCGCTGACCATCTTCAATGTATATTTTAGAAATGTGATACTGGGTCAGGATGGTTCTCAAAACCTTCCAGTGGCTTCTTGCTGCCCACTGGATTCAGGCTCCTTCCATCCTGGGTCCCTCCACTTTTCCACGGTCAGTTCTCCAAGGGCAATGGCCTTCTTCCTTGGCCTTGTATCGAAATCTCTCTCCACTGCGAGGTCCTCCCATCAAATTCTAGTACCTTGGTCATAAAATCCAATCTCATCTTGCCAGCTGCGTATGATTTGGAAAAACTCTGATAAGGGTCACATTCTGCTATATATGCCAGTTATTTGGGTAAATGTTTGTTTTTTGGGAGGGGTCCTGGGGGTACACAGTTATTTCCACTACTAGTTTTGAGCTTTAAATTTTTTTTTCATTTTTTTCCAATTATTTATTTATTTATGATAGTCACAGAGAGAGAGAGAGAGAGAGAGAGAGAGAGGCAGAGACATAGGCAGAGGGAGAAGCAGGCTCCATGCACCAGGAACCCGACGTGGGATTCGATCCCGGGTCTCCAGGATTGCGCCCTGGGCCAAAGGCAGGCACCAAACTGCTGCGCCACCCAGGGATCCCAAATTTTTTTTTTTAATGTAAGAGAGAGAGCATGAGAGAGAGAGAGAGCGCGCACAAGCAATGGGGAGGGTAGAGGGAGAAGCAGGTTCCCAGCTCAGCAGGGAGCCGCATGCAGGGCTTCGTCCTAGGACCCAGAGATCATGACCTGAGCTGAGACACTTAACTAAGCCACCCAGGCGCCCCTAGTTTTGAGCTTTGTAAGGTATTTCGTTTTTGTGGTCTCTAAGTGCTGAGCACAGCATCTTGTACCTCGTAGGGACCCTAACGTTTTTCTTTTAGTGAATGAAAAACAAAAACAAAACAAAATCCGGGACCTGGTGCAGATTCCAATTTGATTCAATTATTTAACATCAGGGTGTTCCAAAGAATTATATAATAAAGAACGGAAATGATTATCCCTGACTGTAAATCCGTGACCCTGGAGAAAACATGGCATAAACACAAAACAAGTTCTTTGAGTTCGTAACTTGAGGGATATTAAAAATGCCACAAGAATCGTTGATCCTCCAAAACCTACAGTGCAAACCAGTCAGATATTTGTTATGCTTTCAGATGGAAAGTTTCCAGATTACAGTCCTTACATTACATTATCTCAAAGGTATGGCTTCTCCAGGCTGAGTTAATTTCAGAAGTCAGGGCCCTGCCAGAAAGCCCTTGGCACCGCGGTGTTGGAATCCTGAATGTTGCTATGAAGTAATCGGACTGTTTAGAACGATCACAATCGGACAGGAATTATGATACCCAGGGGAGGGCAGGTCTGTTCTGAGGAGTCACCAAGGACCCAGTAGTGTTAGCATGAGGATGCGGAGGGAAGACCTCTCAACAGCTGGAGGTGTGTGTGTGTGTGTGGTGTGTGTGTGTGTGTGTGTCTTGAGCCGGGGGTGGGGCGTGTGACACACATGTTCTGACCCCTCCCTTCCCCTTCTCATTGGGAATCTGCACCCCTGTTTCTTAAAACTGCTTTCAGATAAACTACATGTGTTGACATCTACTACATTAGGTTAGAGAACGGTGCGGAGGGACTTCATGGATGGATTTTCAGGTTGCTCCTCTCTGGCTCCCTCCTCCTTCCTAGGATTTCACCCATCAGTTCTCTTCCCTTGTGGCAGCTCTGAGCCCTGGCCCCTGACACCTCAAGCTAAAGAGACGACAGCTTTCTCCCTGGGCTCTTACTGCTCCAAGCTGCACAGACTGAGGGGGGTCCTGTTGCGGGGGGAGGGGGCTGCACAAACTCCTAAATGCAGACCCAACCCATGGAGACCCTCTCTTTCATTGATCAAATTCTTTCCGGTCTTTGCCTGCCTTGGTAACTTCCTGGTGCCTTCAGGGTTTCTTTTCCCCCTAAATATGTCTAGAATTCCAAATTGTTCTCAATAGGGGGCTGGTCCTATGGAAGCTAACCCCCCCCCCTGCTGGTTTCTCCATGGTTCTCAAAGTGGAAGTCTTAAATTTTTCCAAGAGGAGTCCAGCCCTTGCTCCACTGATCACAAACCTCATTCGCTGCCCTTTACTGGCAACGAAGGAGAGCTTAATCTGGACTCCAAACTTGGGGCAAAGACAGTGACTCTTTCTGAACGACCCGAATGTCAACCACAGCAGGAAAACCATTAAGGAGGGCTGCCTTAAAAGCTGTGTGGTTTGCCCATTCTTCTCTCCCTGCTGGGGAAGCCAAGAGTTTCTCTCACATATATCAGTGCCAGGAAGAGCTGGGCTTCCCCTGAGCCACTGAGAAGTTTCTACCCTGTTGTTTGGCTGCTAGGAAGCTCGGATGCAAAGTAGGCATTTGGGATTTACTGTATGTCTGATGGCTGTCCCTTGCCTTGATTGCTTTCATTTATTCAATCATATTATATTAACTCCTGTCTGATACCTTAACTACTTTTGTATGGAAAAGGCAAAAAAAAAAGAAAAAGAAAAAGAAAAAAAAAAGTCACCCAAATCGCTAACTGCTGCTGCCAGTACTCTATTTTTGTTACTCCTCTTTGGAGGTTGCCTTCATGGCCAGATTCGAATTCATGTAAGAATCTCAACTGCAACCCAAAGTGAAATTACTCACCTCGCCTTCCTGCCCAGTCCACCAAACTGAGTATCATGGTGTTCAAGAAATCAGTGTTTGGGAAAAAAAAAATCAAATTTCCTCACAAAGGGTAGAGATGAGAGATAGCTGGTTGACTGTCGAGTCATACTGGCTCTGAAGGCAAGTCCCGGAGAAGTTCCAGATCACTCTGGACAAGAGGAGCATCACTGGTCTGAGCACCAAAAATCTCAAGGTGACTTCACAGGCAGAATGGTCACTTGAATATTCAAGTCCTGGGATGTTTGGATTAATGTAAAATCAATCAGAATTCTCCTCTTTCCACCATAGGGCCAAAGCTGGGTCTGACTGGGTATTTGCTGTCACCCCCTCTCTAGGCGGAGCCAAAGCCTGTGATGGAGACGTCGGACCGGAGCAGCATCATGAGCCTCCCCTTATTTTTAACCTGGAAGATGATGTTGCAGAAGCTGTGCCTCTAGATAGAGGCAGCGCCGAATACCAGGGCGTCCTGCCCAAGGTCAGAGAGGTTCTTGCAGATGTTCTTCTAGACATTGCTGGTGACAACACCTCCAGAGCGGATTACACTCGCGATCCTTCGGTGACCCCCTGCTGCAATCCCCACCACGTCGCCTGCCGTTGCCAAGCCACCGGATGGACCGATTTCCCCAGGGGCAGATGTTAGGAAGCGAGACAGGGCAAGTTCACACTCCAGCTCCGGATGCTGTAAAACTAAGTCTCAGGATTTTGTTCTGAGGCTCGAGCTTTGCATTCCCCCCTCCCCGCTTGAGAGAACAGCTGGGTGGGCCTAGAGCAGAAAGCACCCAGGCTTTGCCGTTAGATCTGGATCAAGGCCCAGCTTTTGAATGTGGGCATTTAGCCTAGCTTGCAAGCTGATTTTGAGGACGAAAGACGATGATACATGGAGATGCCTGCCATGTCACCCGACACAGAACAGGCACTTAATACATTTTAGTTTTTCTCTGTACCCAGTTTCGCTGGTCCCATTAGCATAGATTCATCCCAACTGGGATCTAGGGCAGTGCTTCTCCATCTCTGATCCGCATACGTATCACCTGGGATCTCATGGAAGTGCAGATTCTGACCCAGTAGGTCTGGGGTGGGGCCTGAGATGCTCCATTTCTGGGCAGCTCCTGGGGGAGGTGGGGGTTGCCCTGAGTAGCACCAAATGCAGGCTAGGACAAAGTTAGATGTTTCTGGGTCTCATCGCTCAAGAGTCCACAGATTAATCCCCAGCCCTACCCGCCTCCTCCTTCCCTTTAAAGATCAAACGACTGTATCCTAAAGATTTTAGGCATCTTCCTGCTTCCTAAAACCAAGAAGAGATAAAAAATTTAAAACCTCAAAGATGCATTGCCATGATTTTATTATTAGTGTCCTGAATGGGACTCAAAGGTAATAAATGATTTATTCCAATCACTGCAAAAATACTTTGCGTGGCTGAAAACAGTCTCTCGCTATACGTACGTAATATACAAGAAATACAATTCAAAGAGATTTTCCTATAAGTACATTTTTACACGGCATACATTTAAAAAGGATGCCCTTTATCGTATAAAGTTCCGGTTATAGACCAATATGGTTAGTTAGCATTGACACTATGGCTGTAACATATTTCGAGTAGCAGGATGTGTATATAAGGGTCTCCCGTACCCACTGGCAACGAGGGCAGAGGAGAGTTTGGAGAGCCGTGGACCATGTCTCGTGGCTTAAGCAGGCGGCACCTGGGATTCCTGCCCCCCCTTTCTGCACACACAATTTGTACTCCATTCTTCCACCTTCCTGATAGGGGGGGGTTTCCTGATTTGAGGTGCGCTTCTCATCATGACTGCTTCGTTTTGCCCTTCTGACTTCCACGGCACAAGTTTATCTACCAAAATCAAAACAGAATGGCCTTACTCCTTCCAGGTAGAGGCTGTTAGGCAAGGCTGCATTATCAACAGATCTGTGCCCATGCGGGGTCAGCAGGGGGAGGCTGGCACAGTTTTTGCGTATGTCCATGGACTGACCCTCACTTGTGGCCACAGAAAGTCCACCCGTCTTGCGTAGGTGTAGACGAGTATGGCACAGTTTCAGAAAATACTGACTATATATAAAATACGTGTGTATGTGTGTGTATTTCTATGTATATGCATGTTTGTTTTTTTTTTTTAAAGGCTCATCTTACGTGTAAACACAGACTGCTAAGTCACTATGAAAAAGTCAGTAAATACCCTTGGTCCCACTTCCCTTACTCTTGCTCATAGGAGTAAGACCACTGTCAGAGAATGTGTAGATTTGTAAAGGTTGGCGTGTTTTTACAACAAAAGCTGCTTCCTGAATACGGCACCTTTCTAAGGTACCAGAAATGATCAGTTCTCTTTTCTCATTGTGGATGGAGCAAAGGAAATCCCCAGGAGATAAGAGTGATCATATTCAGGAAAGTGTGAGTATATTACAAAAAAAAAAAAAAAAGACCCTACTCACAAGGACTTGTGTTCTGAAGGCAAAGGCCTGGGGAGCCCCTCATGAGATTAGGCAGGCAAGCCCATGTTTTTAACCATGCTGACTCCAAGATCACAATCCCGTAAGTTTTTAAGGGATGTGGGTAGAGGTGTGAATTTTGGCCAAGTATGCGTAATAGGCATGCTGGTGCAGAATAATGGCAGGGAGGGGAGTTGTCCAGCATCTCCTCTCCTGTTGGACATCGTTGCCAAAAGGATGGGAGATGGTTCACGTCGAGAGGACATCCCAGTGGCACTCACGCCTCTGGTCTCCATGAAATGAGATAGAGAAGACTGTCTGCTATGACATTGGGGGGTTGTAGAAGCTCGATCCTGTCCTCCCTGTCTGCCTGGAAGCTGGACAGCAGGGCGTCTGGGATCTGCTGGCTTCCATGACCCCAACTGCTGGCTCTAGGGTCTAACAGGGGCCTCATTCAGTGATCAACGCTCTCGCTGGCAGGAAGCCTTCCTTGTGTCTAAAGAAAAATCCCAGAGGCAAGTTAAATGGACTTTCTCACATTTGGTCCTGAAGAGGGAGACAGGACAACCGGCTCCTACCCAGCTTCCTGGCAGTGTTTAGGTGAACAGGCCTCTCAACAAATTCTACCACTAGATCTTAAGCATCTCCATTGTTTTTTTTTAAACTCCAAACAAATGATCTACACAGTGTACCTATTATTTTATACAGGTTTTCTTTGGCAAGGGACCGCCTCCTGAAAGCCAGGATCTGATGTACCCCAATTTGTACAAAAGGTTTTAGGGTTTACTTTGATTACAGCTAAGAATCTAATTAATAATCTAATTGTCTTTTGGAGCAGTCACAGACTTTCGCCACAATCACTGAGATGGAACCTAGTGAGTGAAGGTTCTAAACCTGGGCAGTGTAGGACACATATATCCCCGCTCTATCTACTCTGCTCTGGTTCCCAGAAGACACAACTTCAGGTAAGTGACCACCAACTTTTAGGGGGCCGGAAGAGCTCCCTTTATGGCTAGTCAGGGCATGAGAACCCAAAGGCAAAGGAGGCAGCAAGCCAATGGTTGTTTTTATATTTATAATTCGTATTTTTAAGAACCACTGCTCTCCAGCCCTAAAATATAAATCGTACTTGTTGGCACTGCATCTGGCAGTCTGCCTCTTAAAAGTCAGAAACGTAAATCTCAAGCTGCAGTCCGTAGAGCCTTCATGGGCAATCACACACCCCACCCTCCCATATCATGCACAGAGGACTCTAGAACAGCCTTTTAAAAAAAATAAAAATAAAAATAAAAAAGCTGACTGGGCTTACCGGATTGTCCCAGGATTTATAGGAGAAAGAAACTAGACCTGCCTTCCATCCTTTTGCAAATGAGATTTCAACTGACATTATAAGATAACGGTCAGGAGAAAACATCATATACCAAGACCTAATGGGCTCTGAAGCAGGGCCCGATCTGGCTCCAGGAGGCTCACTCAGTTGACTCTCTAAGTCTTGGTCCAAACACAGCTTCCGTGTCTCGAAGATTTTAGGTTCACTCTCTGTGCCACTCTCTAACTGCAGCTCACGAGAGCGGTCTGGATGGTGCTCTAAATGGAAGCTTGAGGGATCAGAAGGATCTGCTAAGCTAAGCTAAGGCAGCCACCCAGGGAGAGAACCCTCTCGTCAGACGCGGATGCAGGGAGAAGCCAAGCCTTGCACCCAGCCAACCCCGAGGGCTCTTGCTGCCAGAACAGCTGAAGCAAGATGCAGGGAAATGCCCGGGAGCTCTCCACCGAGGCTCCCGCCCTCCACCCGGCTGCTGGGAGCCTGGGGTCCGCCCCATTAGAGCCGCGCGAGGGTGAGGGTCTAGCTGGCTTACAGAGCGCAGCGGCCCAGCCCCGTTAGGTCCACGTCTTTAGCAAAAAGGCAGCATTCTGCAAGGACATCCTTAGGAGCCTCAGGCAAACGGGTTTATGCAGGCACGAATTCCTACCTTGTGAGCAGTACAGAGAGTGCTAAAGAAGCCAAGTTAAGGATTCCAGGCCTCTGGAGGTAGTGAGGCCGCCGAGACTCCCTGGGTTAGTATTCGGTTATTCTACTGCTGCCGGCTTTAGCCTGACACCTGATGGCTGGTCTGTCGGGCCCGAGGCACACAGCACAGCGCATCACCTAGGGCTTTCTGACTAGTGCAGAGGAGGTTAGTTGTTACAGGACTAGATAACAGGGCAAGTGACTTCGCCTCTTGCATGAGGAGAAGGCTTCCTTCTAAGCACACAGACTGAGCCACTCGGTTAGGGGTTCCTAATGCTCACAGGGGGGAACTCATTCTCATCATCAAGACACACTGGTCCCGTCGCAAACTCATGTTCAGGAATAATCTCTCCTCGGAGGGCTCCGCCGTCCTCAGAATAACCTGGAAGCCAAGAATGAGACGTTGAGAGAAGCCCGGCGGCCTGCTGTCCTTATGCTGTGACCTGGGGGCGGGACCTCCAGGGAGACCACAGAGGCTGCCTTTGCCTTCTGAACGGAGAGACTGAACTTCAGAGGAGTCCAGAGCCCCACCGTGTGTGGCATCCAAGCCTCCGGACGGGCTGGCCTCACCCACCTGTCTACCCTAGACATCTCCGACTCGCTACTGGTTGGCAATTCTCAGAGAGGCCAAGGGTTGACACGACTTGTTGGGGGAGGCGATAATTTGGGGCTGCGCCTGCCGGGTTTGGGAACCCGACTTTTAAAGGCTGTTCTTGCGGTCGCACCTGGGAGGAGATAAGTGGTTCGGGGAGAGCATTCCATCTACAGGTGACCGTGAAGACAGAGGAAGTGGCGTCAGAAACAGGCCCCCACGGTGCCCCACCACCCCCCTAGCCCCCACCAGGCCCCCACATCCACTCACCTGGCACCGTGGAGGCGGACCAGGTGCTTGGTCTGGCTACAGTTGCTGCGTAAGACTGAGGTAATGAAGGTCTGAGGTCATTTTCTTTATTTTCTTCTGTTGTTCCTGAGCTAAGCAAGCTAATTGCAGCAATTGTGGGGGAGGGGAGGAGAAAAAAAGAGATCACATATCCAGGATACCGTCACAAGGAAAAGCACTGGGCAGCTCAGGCTTGCAGTTTAAAGTACGGACCTATGAGTTCAAGCTGGGTCATGTGACCCCGCCAGTGGCCTTGAAGAGCTGGGGTCCATCACGCAACTTCACAATGGACCCCTTTCTCTTCTATGCACTAAACGAAGACTGGCCCTTTGCTCTTCCTGGTACACCCTGGCAAGGACCCTAAGACACGCTCACAAGGAGGGGTGATGTGTGGGCGAGGGGGCAGGGGCAGCTCACGGTGTCCAGGCACAGCAGGGAGAGGTCACCTTGTTCTCGGTCATAGACATCAAGAGAACTTTTCAATTAAGTTTGGTCAGTATTTTTGAGCACCCAATGTACGAGGAGGAAAGGCCACAGAAAGACATTGTGTTTCTTCAATTGTGTGTTACTCCTCCTGGCACTTTTCCAGAAGTGCACAGCGTAGTGAGGGTGCCTGACTTCGAGCCCAGCACAGAGCAGGTGCCCTTAGAGGTTTGCCACCGAGATGGCCGGCGAAGAGGACAGACAAGCAATGGCCCTAAAGCCTGTCGTTCTTGGCCAACTGACAACCTGACACAAAGCGGCTCTTAAAAAGACTTTTTGAAAACTAGTCTCTTCACCTGTGGGTCTTGATTAAGACACATTCTCCTCCGTCCTGAGGGTCCAAATTGTAGATGTAAAGGTGTCCATCGGATGA